ACCCAGACTGTGGGGGCGATATGCTGACTCTGTAAATTGCTTAGAGAGGGCTGAAAGCCCTATGAAGCGGTAGATAAGTCTAACTGCTATTGGTATTGCTATTTATTGCTTGGTGTTAACCCACTCACACCGTTGTGGCTTACAACTCTACAAAGACGACGCTCCCATTCCTAAATTAATGCACATTTGTGAGTGAATTGTCTGCAAATAAACGGGGAAGGGGAAAATCCCTTGCAAGGCAAACGGGGTAAAGAATTATCTCTAGGAAATGCAGGGCATCAACTACCCTCTTTGTGGTCCCGCAAGTCACATTATTTGTGTGTTTTGTGTGTACCTTGCTAAGATAAGCTGCCTTCTGTGGGGATCAGTGTTTAAGAGAACACCAAGAGAAAAGATTTAAAAAAATCCACGACACAAATTTGCCAAAGTAGCCTGTAAAATAACCAAAGACGCAGCCAACCCATTTTTAATATCTGTATGCAGGTTTTTTATTTTGTCAATTCTCTTCTCCATTTGATGCTTCTTATACAAATGGCACTTACAAAAAAAAAACGTGTTTTTAAAGGAGGGGGGAAAATTAACTAAACATTAACAGGATATGAGATGCTTTTTCATAGCCACGATAGTCAAGGAAATAGAAGGCAAGAATTCTTGACTGAAAAATACGGTTACAGGAGGAAAGGCAGTGAGGCTGTAACATGATCCAAATCCCACCAGGTGGGCAAGAGACACAGGAAAACAGGACAGACTCTGGAGGCCAACTGGGACGTCATCTCTGCTCCCTAAATTGTGGTTTCTTTCACAAGCTTAAGGTTTCTATAGTTTCCAGAACTTCAGCGCAATCCAGTTTAAGATTCCCAGGCGAACCCCAGCTCAGAAAACCCTCTCTTACTCTCATAAGGCAAATAATTTCCATTGCTATAAAGTTAGAGCACCGATTCCTATTAAAGTCACCTTATGGATAGCAGAGAGTGGATGCTTTTGTTAAGGCTTAGGACGTGGTCCCTGCTGTTTCCCCCCCCAAAGTTAATCAAAACCCCACCAACCCCTTTGAAAATTTGGCCAAACACCCCCCCTCCTGCGCTCCCCATAAAGTTAACGCGTTTAGCAAATACAAAACTGGATCTTACAAATTCATGGATTTGGATTAAGAGAGCACCATTTGAAGCGAAGTCTTCCTCCCCCCACAGACTTCAGGGGTAAATGTGGGGTCTGCTTGGCCTAAGGAAACAGAGATTAAAACCCCCAAGAAGGCATCGCATCGGACGACGGCAACAAAATAATAATAAAATAAATCCACAGACAAAACCTGCGTGCACAGAAGACTCCTCGGGACTCCCCAAAAGAGTTAAGCAACGTGTTAACAAAGATCGAAGTTGGGCTGTGCCGAACAACGAATCTAGCGCCTAAGTTAGGTTGGGCTTGGAGGGCAAAGTTGATGTAAGTCCCAAGAGAAGACTTTTCCTGTTCAACTTTCTATGTTTTGGGGTTCTGCGGGGGGGGCGGGGGGCAAAGTGCGGGATTCACAGAAGCAGACCCGTTGGGTCACGAGATGATGCTGGGGGGGGTCTCGTCTTGAGGAGGCCCTCAACAAAGCTTGTCAAGAGATGAGATGTGCTGTGGGAAGCTGCTGAGATGCAGAAGCCAGAAATGGCTATGTTGACGCAGAGTTTACAATTTTTGGGGGCGGGGGGGAAAGCGGGCAGCGAGATGAGAAGACGACAAATATTCCAGTTTAGGTCAACAGGTAGAACGATGCAGTGGGCATGCATTGTGCAAATGATGCTAGTTTAAGGGAACGCGGATAAGTTGGCGATGGAGGATTCCCCTGAAAAGTTGGTGGACACGCAGCCTGGCTTGAATCCACTCCTCCCGATACCTTTCCCCACCATCTCGTCTTCCATACCTCCTCTCCCCCCCCCCACTCCCCAAATCTACGAAGACATTTCAGTGAAAAGTACTTGGGAGGAAAACCAAGGGAGATTCTCCTGCGGACTGACCTGTGTCGTGGCTAAAGTCCCTGTTCAATTTTCGGAGTCAGTCGTATCAGCTGCTGGCAGGGAAGCCGCCCTCCATCATGGATGAAGGGTGAAGAGGAGCAGAGGAGATGCCGAGATGTTTCTCCCCCCCCCCCAAGCCAAGGCAAGAGGGAGGGAGGGGAGGGAAAAAATGAGACGCGCAGACATATTGACGTGCCGCTCAACGCCTTTATTTGATGCGTCCATCCGTGTAAGCAACAGCTTCAACCGTAGTCCTGGCCTGCTCTAACCAAAACGCAAAAACCTCCCCAACGATGAGAAAGAAAGGTAGAAAAGAGACGAAGGGAAATTCGATCGCGGGTTGCCCCTTTCAGGGAGAAAGGGAAAAGAATCATAAGGCAACATCAATGGCTTCTCGGCGTGTGTTTCGGGGAGATGTTTAGAGATGCTTTTGGGGAGGGGCGCACAAGGGTGGGGGGGGGAAAAACCCAAGGAATCCACTTGGATCTTTTGAGGATGAGATGAACGCGCGGAGATCCNTCCTTGGTGCTCTCTGAGTTTGATAGTTTCCTTGAAGGGATTTCATGACCCAATTAAAGAGCATCCTCAGTGCTAGTCCATATTTGTCGCTAAAGAAATATAGACCAAGATCCGTCCAGATGACCTGGTTGCGTCATCCTAATACAAGGAAACCCATTCAAAAAGGGCACCCATAACTCTTTTGAAGTGATCACCTCCTTGTCTATCTTCTCTTTCTTACATATATATATTTATATGTGTGTGTTCGTTTGTTTTCTTTTGCAGAAAACAGTTTTAAGCGGATCGGCCCTCCGGCAGAAAAACCCGCGGAGAAGATCCCACGGATCGAAGCCATCCCCAGGCCGGTTCCCCAGAACTTCCACCACCACCACCACCACCACCAAATGCGCCCCTACCCGTTCGGTCACCCCCCTTTCCCCCTGGCCCCCGTGCACCCCCTGTACAACAACCTGGGGCCCATCAACTTGGGGCCCATCCCGGCCCCTTACGTCCCCCCACTCCCCAACATGAGAGTGAACTACGACTTCCCCCCAATGAACCTGCAGTTGGAGCCCAACCTCCCTATGCACTTTGGGCCTCAGCCTCGGCATCGGTTCTGATCCCGCTTTCGGGATAGGCGCCGTTCCTTCCGGAACTTTGCTGCAGGGAAAGTCCACACACACTGGTTGTCGACGGTCGCGCCCGTCCGCCCGCTTCCACGAAACTACAATGTCCATCTGGGCTCCTGTTCCTTCCCGCCTCCTGTCTCTCTCAGTTCAGAGGTCCGTTTCCCCCCTCCCTCCCTGCCCTCCGCTAGGTGCAGGGGAGCCCTAGATTGCAATAAGGGTTTATCCCGGCACTGTTTTAATTTTTTCTCCAGGTGCTCACGCTATTCGAGAAGAGGGGCTTCCGCAGGTGGGAGGACGGGGACAACATTATGGCCCAAATGCGTTCTAGGTCAACCAAATTTGTCCTGGTCAACTTCTTCCATTAGCTGTAGGGCCTCCCAATATCTGAACCCCCAAAAGAGGTTGAAGGTAGCAGGGGGACTCTTTGGAATATTTGAAACACTCAAGTGGCGGTCCTTAATTCTCAGAAAACCAGGCGTGGCGGGTGCATGTGTGTGTGGTTTTCTTTTTTTCTTTTTGGCTTAGATCTTCCACCGCTTCCTCCTCCTGCTAGGAAAAGCAGGGGACAGATTCCGGGGTCTCCTAAAGCGAGCTGGGAGAGACCCCTCGGGAATTTGACGCACCTCGATTGCAGCTCAAAGGGGGGAGCTTTGAAAAGATGAACCGGATCGGTCTTGAAATTAAATTGGCGGTTGTGGCCATCGCCGTGGCCGGCTGCCGCTTTTCGGTTATTCGTGTCTGGAGTTGGAGCCCCGATTTGGCTGTTGACGCTGCAGCCTCGTGGAGGTTTCCTCCGTTGTGCGTGGAACGAAGGGATGTAGGGCTGCCCTACAAAAGGGGCCAGAAATATTGGGGGTTCTGGGGAGAGACAGGGGCGCAGTTGGGCTGGGCCTCCTCCGCTTTTCCTCTTGCGTTGGGGTGAATGCTCGGGTTGCTCCCCACAGCTGGGACAAGTGCCCTTGGGCCCCCTCCACCCCCTTACCTGTGGGAGCACATGGCTCTAAGCTCCCTTATGCATCCTCCATCTCTTGAAACCCAGGTGCGAACAGGTAGCCCAGAAGCTAGATCTGTGGTCTCAACGTTTAGGTCTTGGGTTCTTCCACAGAACCGTTTAAGGGCTGACTTCAGTTTCTCAACCTGAGCAGCTTTAAGAGGAGTGGACTTCAACTCCCAGAGTTCCTCAGCAAGCTGTGGGAATTGGAATCCACCCATCTTAAAGCCCAGCGTTCCCAGCCATCTTAAAACCGCCCAGGCAGGGGTGAAACGCTCTGCAGTCTGCGACCGCTTCGCTTCGCTACCGGTTCGCTTCGTGGGAGTGCGCACCGCCGGCACTACCGCGCAGCGCTGAAAAAGGATTTAAGAACCCTTTTCAGAGTCTGCAAAGGTAAGTAGAGCAGCGAGGGAGAACAGCCGTAACGCACGATTTAGATTTGCTAGAAAGCAGTCTTTCCTGCTTTCTAGCGAATATAAACCGCACGGCACAGCTGATCGTCGGAACTACCGGTTCATCCAAACCAGTAGTAAAAAAAAAATGCTACCGGTTCGGTTCGGAACCGAACCGGTAGCATTTTTTTTTTACTACTGGT